TTAAAAATTGAATGTTTTTTAGATCATTCAAATCGGATACTCCGTTCTCTCAAAAACTCGATTTGTATTTTCTGCACTTTTTGCTCCGTATCTCCGTAACGGCTAGACCTGCCTTTGCCAAAAAATTAGCTAGTCACCTTATCAATGCGAATCGAATGTTTTTTAAATTATTCAAATCAATTGACCTGTGTTCCCGAAATCGTCGACAAAAAATTTGTATCCGCACACGCACACACACATACATTCATACTCGCACACGCACAAATATCCATTTTTTCTAAGGTATGCCAAAATATTCAGAAACCTTTGAAACGTAAAAATATATAAAAAAAAAAATTAGATTTTTTTGCGATTACTATAACTTATACTACGGGAAGTTAATAATAAATTCTGTAAAGATATTTCGTGATAAGGCTTATCTCATTTCACAAATTAATATTTTCTCTATTTATATTAATAAATGTATAAATAAAATGAAATAAAACATCCAATCGATTAACAAGAGAGACTAATGGGCACAAAAGCCAAACTTCAACTCTTTGATATTTTTCACAGATTATTTTATGGGCATGTTCAATGTTTCGGGGTTTGTTATAATTCGTTCAATTAAATTTGATTTATATTAGATTTTTTATACTTCGACTTCTTCTTCGATTATTACTTTATATAAACTTATTATTATATAATATTTATACACATACATATATGTATACATAATTGGCACCATTTAGAAATGTAGTTGAAATGAATCTGTACATTTAAATCTTCGTAAAGGAGACTGTCATTCAATAGAAAGAAGATATTATTGAAGTGAAAGTGTTAAAATTATAGCAAATGTAAAGTAAATAAGACTTAGTTGATAGATTAGAATAAAGCACTGAAACATTTTTTTTTACATTTGATACATCAAAAAAATACTCTTGGTAAGAATTAATCTTCAAGCTATATGGACTTAATTTTGTGACCTATAATTTTTTACAAATTAGTCAGTTTTGTCTTAATATTTTATTCTAATTTTACATGACAAAATTATTTATAAAATCTAATAAGCACCATGTCAAATAAAAATAGTGCTTCTACACCTGAAAAAGAAAGTGTTGGACATATTTTTTAGAAAATGCTAATTTAAGATACTTGATTTATGCTTGTTCAAAGTGTTGATACAATAATATTACCTAGATTCATATAAATCTCAATGAAAAGAATAACATCAACTGGTTTCTTTCTAAGCACCACATCTTATTTGCATTAAAATTAATTGAACAAATGGGTGTTCAGAGGAAGAAAAAAAACAATTTATTGTTCTATAGTAATGTACTTCGTGATTTTTTATTTCACCTCAAAAACTTAGTCAATAATATTCCAAATTATTTGGTCTCGTTCACAGAAAATGAAATTTGTCATATTATTGATTTATTATATAATTAAAATCTCTTAAGTCTAGAATGTGTTTAGATATTTGTGCATACAATATGAATTTATATTTTTGCAAGTCTTGTCTAAAATTTCATGTACAAAAGAGAAAAAATGTTACAAAGCTAACTCTTCTGGTAGGATCTAATAATCTCATATCAGAAAATCTCTACATTTAAAACTTTGCATTGGTGTGAAGCAAAAATAATAAAAAATAATTTAAAGTATGATTACATAAAATACACATATTTATCATTAAAATCAGGACAAAACAGCATAAAAACATTGCTATCAAAGGCCCTTACTATTAATTTTGGTTTTAAAGTAATGTACTCTTTACTTTTCTATGTAGTTAGAAACTTGAAGTACAAGTGCAAAAAATATTGAAACATTTTAAGTTTACTTAATAGATAAAATAAATATCTTTTTAACTCAATCTATACTAATCAGTGATCCTTAACATGTTTCAAAAATATATATGCAAAATATGTAATAAATATAATAAATATTTTTACATAAATTTTCTTGAAATAAGCCTTACAATTAAAATCTTACAAATTTCTCACCACCTTTTGCATTTTGAAATTCCGTTTTTAATTAGCAGTACGAATAAATGCTTTATTTGATGAATTCGTAAACCGTCAAAAATATAGGGAGTGCTTGCTAGGTTCTTGTTCAAAGCATTGCATTAAAGTAAATAAAGCAATAAATATTTTAAGTTAAATTGTACTGCAAATTAAAACTTTAGAGTTTATTATCGAATACATTCAGTATTCATATTTTATTAATCACTCATTTCTTTTTTGCATTTGGGCTTGTTGTTTGAAAGACAGATGAAGCAGACATTAAATTTTCAATATATTGCCCCAGGACTTGATTTTCAG